TGTATTTTGTCATCTCTGTACACTGACAGAGCTACCGGGGCCGCAAATGTGATTGGGTCCTGGAGTTCCACCCATCAAATAATTATTATAGTAGAGGGGGTTGAGTAAGACCAAATTTAAAGGTCTGGTACTGGTTGTCACATAGTAATATTTGCGGGTGTACCAACTTGTGAATTCAAACTTTTTGACTCTGTTCCTGGTAATTGAGTCTAATGTGAGAACATATGGATTTCTCCTTTGGAGGAATTTTTTGGTGAATAATTCTTGGGAGGCACAGAAAGGATATATTATTATGATTACCGTTGCCATTTATATATTGTCAACAGATTCCGTAGCGCTTTACAATATTATGAGAGGGGGGATTTAACCATAATGTACAGCGCTACGGAATTTTGCTGGCGCTATATAAATAACAAAATAAAATAATAATAATAATAATAATAAGACAATTACAAGAAAAATTACAAGAACAATAGGTTGAAGAGGACCCTCCTCAAACAAGCTTACAGTCTATAGGAGGTGGGGTATAAAACACATTAGGACAGGAAATAGCAATCAAATAAGGTGGGAGTGAAGCAGAGCTGTAGGAGAGAGTAGAGTGCTGCCCTTTAGGAGAGAGCAAAAGACAGGTATGTAAGGTAGAGGTTACTCTGAGGCCATAAGCTTTCCTTAAGAGATGGGTTTTAAGGCACTTCTTAAACGATTGAAGACTAGGGGAGAGTCTGATGGCGGCAGACAGGCTATTGCCTATAGGATATATGTATTTTCTTGCTACTCGATACATCATTGTGGTAAGTGTGGTTTCTCAAAATGTGCAAAAATATTGTTATATCTGGAGTCAGAGGGAGCCCAATTGTGAATTTTTCATTAACATAATTTTCTCACTTCCTTCCAAAAGGTAGGAATCACCATGCACAGACAACATTGTATATATTTTTATACATAAATTGAAGAGTGCATTGATTTTCCCATCACGGTAAATCACACCTAGAAAAATATTGCTATTTATTCCTGGAAAATATGAGCCGTGAACTCTTAATAATAATAAATTGTCATGTTATAGCTGTCTTGACACCAATTGCGGCTCGCTTGCTCCGGTCAGCAATAAATTGTGACTTTAAATCGTCATTAATCATAATGAACTGGTCATTCTAAAAGAGAACAGCATTAAATGCATAGAGAGTAGTAACCTAGAACTGACTTCAAAACCTAGAATTGACTAGAAATGGCTTAACATACAGACTTTTTATCACCTTGAAACTGATTTGTCATAAACCCGACTTCTTTTATTAATCTGACACTTGCCGTATTTATTACCCAAAACATACAACAGTGTTTGGGTATTATTAATATTGCACCAAATCAATCCCTATGTGTGCTGCATTTAATTATGGTGTCCTCCACCACAATCCCAAAAAATCCCAAACCAAAAATAAATCCAAGTGCGCAATTTATTTACCATCTTAAAATGATATGATACCTGTATAATCCTCAGTAGCTTCTTCTCAGGGACAGCATACATGGGAAAAAAAGGCAATTATAAAAACTTTAATAAAACAACTGGAAAAATAAAAGTTAAATGGTTGTACGTGCTATAAACAGAAAATCACACTCATGTAATCAGAGTAAATTCCCTTTCCTGGTAGCACATGTATAAAGTGGCTCTGTTACTTTTTTCCTTCCCATCTCCAATCATTTTTTGCATCCCCCAGCCCCCCATAATGCCTGTGAGTGACCCTAGGACCACTAAACATAATTTTTTCCCAAATCCTGCTGGTCTTGACAGGTGTTGTTTTCTGGGCGCAACCAACTTGGTCTATCTAGTATGGTGCATAATTTAATTCTCCATCTCTGCACTTCCCAGGGCATATACTTCAGACTTTGGGAGGCCTGTATTGCTCATTATTTGTAACAATAAAAAAAATATAACAGAGCCACTTTAAAACAGCATTGACTTTTCTACATCGCAGTGCTGGTCTCCGAGCTACTGTCCCACGTCCTTGGCTGAGATCATCAAGATCAATGATCTCAGCCAATCCAATTAAAGCATCGGGAGGCTTGTGCGCATGTGCAGCAAAACACTGCGCCAATCAGATGGTCAAAAAGCTAAGTTTTCCGGCTATTTTAGCAAAGGCGTCTCTAGTGGTTGCCTGAGAGACAGTAACTAGAGGCATTTAAACCTGCAATAAAAACATTGCTGTTTCTGCAGAATGACACCTGCAGGGTTTATTTATTTATTACTGGCATTTATAAAGTGCCAACATATTCCACAGTGCTGTACAATTGGGAAAGACAAGACAATAAGAACAGACCGATACAAAAGGTAGAGGGCCCTGCCTGTGAGCTTACAATCTAAAGTTAAAACGGGGGGAACATAGCACCCAGACCACTTCATTATGCCTATAGTGTCCGTTTAACCTAGAAAGGACTTCTCAACCTTTGATGGCTTTACCATCCCTACAATCCAGCCCTAGTATTTTAGAATATTTTTATTTAAAAAAAATTATTAATTAAAAATAACCCTTAAACTTAACTTCATTCCACTCCTGCAACAGACTCCACACTGCAGTCTGATCCTCCTTCTCCGAAATCATTGAGTTGGTGATTGGCGTCCAATCAATTAGAATAAAACCAGCAACGGATCAGCTATTGGTGCCCAGTCACTAACAAGGCCCCATCCCATCTCAGGGGGATAAGGCCACTATATTACCGGGGAACCTGGCACTGGTCCCCCTCCTCCATGCCACTAGAACAGACAGCGGACCTGGACTAATTCTCCAATTCAACCATGGTCACAACTTGAATATTCTTGCCTCGGTTTTTCCACTCGGGTTCAATTTGTGAAGAAATTTGGAGTTTGGTGACTAGGCCTGTAAGTGTCCATGGGTGAGTTATTGGCAGACCTGGTGTGCTTTGTTTGTGGGGTAATTTGTGCTGTTATAATTTACTGTCAGAAATGAGTGTTGGCTCAGAGTCCTCCACCTAACAATCCTTTTCCAATAATACATACCGCTTGGGGTGCATATACGGACTGTTTAACAGCACATCTCATTTACTTTCTATAAATTATTAAAATCTTACGGAAACATGAAGGTTTGAGAGCAAGTTCTCCATCACTTGATGTATGGAAGTCCAACCTTGAACATGTTGCATTAGTAAAAAAGAAAAATGGTTTCCTGCTCACTTACCAGATGTCGGGGCATATGGTACTCACTGCATGCCAGTACTGACTGTGCTCCCTAATTGTCAGTGCCATCTGTGCTCACTGCATGCCAGTGCTCACTGATTGTCAGTGTAGGTTGCACTAACTGAATACCTGTGCAAGCTGCACATACCAGAAATCAGTGCAGGCTGTACACTCACTGGATGTCAGTGCAGGCTGTACACTCACTGGATGTCAGTGCAGGCTGAACACTTACTGGATATCAGTGCAGGCTGTACACTCACTGGATGTCAGTGCAGGCTGAACACTTACTGGATGTCAGTGCAGGCTGAACACTTACTGGATATCAGTGCAGGCTGTACTCACAGGATGTCAGTGCAGGCTGTACTCACAGGATGTCAGGGCATATGTTACTGACTGGATGTGAGTTCAGGCAACACTCACTAGAAGTCAGACCAGCTGTACTCACTGTAAGCCAGTGCAGGCTGTACTCACTGGATGTCAGTGCAGGCTGTACACTCACTGGATATCAGTGCAAGATATACTCACTGCATGTCAGGGCATATGTTACTGACTGGATGTGAGTTCAGGCAACACTCACTGGAAGTCAGACCAGCTGTACTCACTGTAAGATGTACTCACTGGATTGCACTACAGACTGTACCCCTGCCTCCATACTGCTCACTCACTGGATGGCTCTGCAATATATTGAGGTCAATGCATGCTGCACTCACTGGAAGTCAGAGCAGCTGTACTCACTGGATTGCAGTACAGGCTGTACCCCTGCCTCCATACTGCTCACTCACTGGATGGCTCTGCAATATATTGATGTCAATGCATGCTGCACTCACTGGAAGTCAGATCAGCTGTACTCACTGGATTGCAGTACAGGTTGCCCTCCTGCCTCCATACTGCTCACTCACTGGATGGCTCTGCAATATACTGAGGTCAATGCATGCTGCACTCACTGGAAGTCAGATCAGCTGTACTCACTGGATTGCAGTACAGGTTGCACTCCTGCCTCCATACTGCTCACTCACTGGATGGCTCTGCAATATATTGAGGTCAATGCAAGCTGCACTCACTGGAAGTCAGACCAGATGTACTCACTGGATTGCAGTACAGGTTGCACTCCTGCCTCCATACTGCTCAATCACTGGATGGCTCTGCAATATATTGAGGTCAATGCATGCTGCACTCACTGGAAGTCAGATCAGATGTACTCACTGGATTGCAGTACAGGCTGTACCCCTGCCTCCATATTGCTCACTCACTGGATGGCTCTGCAATATATTGATGTCAATGCATGCTGCTCTCACTGGAAGTCAGAGCAGCTGTACTCACTGGATTGAAGTACAGGTTGCACTCCTGCCTCCATACTGCTCACTCACTGGATGGCTCTGCAATATATTGAGGTCAATGCAAGCTGCACTCACTGGAAGTCAGACCAGATGTACTCACTGGATTGCAGTACAGGTTGCACTCCTGCCTCCATACTGCTCACTCACTGGATGGCTCTGCAATATATTGAGGTCAATGCATGCTGCACTCACTGGAAGTCAGAGCAGCTGTACTCACTGGATTGCAGTACAGGCTGTACCCCTGCCTCCATACTGCTCACTCACTGGATGGCTCTGCAATATATTGATGTCAATGCATGCTGCACTCACTGGAAGTCAGATCAGCTGTACTCACTGGATTGCAGTACAGGTTGCACTCCTGCCTCCATACTGCTCACTCACTGGATGGCTCTGCAATATATTGATGTCAATGCAAGCAGCACTCACTGGAACCCTTGCTGCCCCCCAGTGGCACTGCTGTAGCACTGCAGCCAGGGGAGGTGCAGTGAGCTCAGGCCGTCACGTGACCCGGAGGCTGCGGCAGCTTCTCGTATAAATCAGAAAGCAGCAAAGAGCAGTGTGAGTCCTGAGTGCGGGCCGGATCACTCACACTCACTGAGCCACCATGGCGGGAGCTATCATAGAGAACATGAGCACCAAGAAGCTGTGCCTGGTGGGGGGCGTCCTGCTGCTCTTCCAAGTGCTGGCATTCCTGGTCGGGGGGCTGATCGGTGAGCAAACTTTCTCCCCTCCCCCCAACTTTCCCCCAGAGCCCCCAACTCACTGCCAGAACTGCCCCCAGAATGGACCCCCAGCCCTGAGCTCTTTAACCCTTTCTTACCCATCCCTGAGTCTGTGTGTGAGGGGCTGAACGGGTTAAACGGGTAAGTGCTTTGAATTGGGAGCTAACCGAAATTAATAGGGAGGGGGGTCATAATTGCCCCTCCCTCCAAATCTGTCCTTCTGCCCCCCCTCTTTAACTCCATCATGGATGATTCACTCCCTCCCCCTTTATTTAATTCCAGAAATGTTTCAAACTTCCCATCATTTGGGGGATTTAAACTCCCACTTTTCCAGCATAGAATACAATCAGAGTTTGGCTTATTGTAAAATCTAATATTCAGAAATCTGTATCAGAATTGCCTGGGTTGTATCAGAATTGCCTAGGTTGTATCAGAATGTCTCTGTTCTCAGACTTCTGTTTAGAACGTTCTGTAATCGATGTCCAGGTTACTTCATGCTCTCAGTGGGAGATAATCCAGAGGTTTCAGTCCATGTGTGACCCCCTAATACTCGGAGATCTGATCCTAAAATGTCTTTAGAAATCCCTGCAGGAATATTTGCAGTCTATCACATAGTTACACTTCTTTGTATCTTGGTTCTTCACACCTCTTCCCAAACATGTCCTTTTGAAGTCCCATTCCCTCCAGCCTTTGTTTACTACATCCTGCTTGTAATCTTCAAATAGTTCAGTGAATACAGCACTCTGTGGTTACTTGGTCTCTAGCAATCATATTTGTCTCTTTTAATTGAACTTTTTAATTTCAAACATAACAATGGCCATTAATACGATACTTTACTGAAAGACTTGACTCAGTTCAGGAAGCTTTTATTATGCTGGAATTCGGAAATGGTTTAATTAACCCTGAAGCTATTACACAGGAAAGAACAAAAATAAAAGGGGTTTACTAACTAACCTGTGACTTGTAACAACTCCACCTCTGGCAAAATAAAGACTAAAATTCAAGCAGTGGCAATTGCTGTTTTGGAGCATTTTTTTTATTATTATTATTATTAACTTATTTTTTAAATAAACTATTTTAATTTAAAAAAAATTGGCCTAAATTTTTCTGTTGACATTTATTTTTGAGTACAGCATAATGAATAACCTCCAAATATTCTGATTATCGGCAAACCAATTTTCTTGGGCACAGAATTCCTAAGTCTTTTATTTTTTTTTATTTTTTTTCTTGACTCCTTTTTAAAATGTATTTAAATAGTTTTTTTTTTTTTGTCAAAACCTTTTAAAAGAAAAAATATATTTTTGCACAGTTTCAGTTTTTGTGCCACAAGGAAAACCTGTACAGATTGTGTTGTATGTTAAAGGGACACTCTATACAATCTACATGTGTTGTAATATTTATATATTTTGTTTCCTTTTCTCTTGGTATGTGAGCGAGATCTCTATCTCTTTATTTATTTTTATCTCATTTTGAGATCGATGTGGCAATACTGATCTGTATTCATATTCTTCCTGATGGGATGTTTTAAAGGTTTGCGTCTTTCGTTTGATTTAGATGTTGTTCCATAGTGCGATCAGGCTAAGCGAATCTGCTGGATCTAATGGAATTTACTGTCGTTGCAGAGTACGGGATTAGCAAGATGCCAGCTATTGTGACTGTGTCTCCCATCAGTGAGATTGAGTCTTGGCAAATTTACAGCTGGAGTAACAGCAGTTGCTTATCCATTTTGCAGGGTTCCTTTGCAAAAAGCGAGACAGCTGGGTTTATCTTTTTAATTTCCCTTACTTTGCAATGTGTCTTAAAACCAATCTTACTATATATTTCCCCTTTAAATCATTAGTAATGTGGGTTTAAAAAAAATATATATATATATATATATATATATATATATATATATATATATATATATATATATATATATATATATATATAATATTTTTTGATTATGTAGTTTCTTAATTTCTGTTTTTTTTATGTACTTGTGGAGAAACCGTGGGTGGTGGGGTGATATTTACTATGAAAAGTGCTGTGTATTTTAAGACCAGAGGCAGCATTGATTTACAATGGACAGATCACGTTAGGCAAATTGAGTTTGACATTGTAGCCAATACAATAGGAAAGCAACGACCATTGGTATATTGAGTTTTGGATTTTAGTGAAGTGTTTGACACTGTTCCGCTCAGTTACCTCATCCATGAACTGCGCATGTTGTTGTCTGATCTAAAATGTAATTGTGTGGATCATATATTCTAGAAAGTGCAACTGTAGAAGTTGCTAGTGTTGCACATCTATCCTTCTATTTTTATTTATTATACTGCAAACATTAAGGAGATATGATACTGGCAGAGGCACCAATGACTACAATATCGATGGGTTAACCGCGTGATACGTTTGATCACTGGACCTTATTAGAATCCTAACTTACTACTTGAATGGTCTGTGTTGCTGATTAAATTATAGGCAATTATGTTTACTTTAGTGCAAAGGTTTCTTTACTAAACACTGAATTGCAGTGAATAAAAAATGAATTGCAATACTTGGGCAAAAATGGAGTTGGACTTGTTTTTGCAGTTTGTTCGAGTCACTGTTCCATAAATCACCCAGTAAACACTTGAGAAGACCAAAAATCTAAAAGTGGCACACCAGCACTCAAACATTAAGCTAGAGTTACTCTAAGTGTGGAGACCACACTCCAAATTTAATGGAGACCACTTTGATACTGGGAGTCTAAAGTGTCTTGCAAATTGTATGTTAATGGAATACTCTAACCACCATAACTAATACAGCTCATTGTAGCAGTTATAGTTCTCTCAATCTTTTAGATCCCGTGGTTTGTGGTGGGTGGTGTTGTGTTTTTTTTTAAAGTAAGATTTAGCAAATGGTTTAGGGTAGAAAATGGCAATTTCTATCTCAATACCTGACATGGTGCCCAGTCCCATGGTAGAGGTGTCTTGTGAGGTCTGGAAAAGTACAAATCTACCCATCTTCTAATTTGAGGGGACAAGTGTATAAAACTTGTACATTACAATTCTTAGAGAACCTTGTTTGAACTTTCAGGTATTTCATATGACTTAAACATAGATTTGAAGAAGACTTACCCCAAAAAAAAAAAAAAAAACACATTGCATCATAAGGCAGGAATGTGTTAAGGTTGGGCTGAATACCTTATTTTACATTTACCTGCTCTGTGCACTGCACGACAACTTTGCAAACCTCTGTCTGTGTATATTTTGTTTTTACATTCTGGTTTGCAAATTCAGGGTGCGTCTATTTTTGACGTACATTTTTATAGGACAAGGGCTTATGGATTCTAGTGGGTTCAGAGAGCTGTACAATGCATTACTAAGCAATTTGTTGTACCATACCATCTTGGTTACACATGGTTAAAGCCAGACACTTGTGGCTGTTTTCAGACATGAAAAGTTATTTAACTATGAGTCTGGCATTCTAGGATGGCCCTGGGGCATGTGAAACTTAACTCATGGAGAACCAGAGTTTGGTGATGATGAGGGCCATGCTTGTCTTAATTAACTCTCTGTATACCCTAGTGCCACTTATCTTGGTTTCAGAATCCAATATCGTTTTCCACGTACAGTTGATACTTTTTGTTGTGTTGTTTGTTTTATGTATATGAAACCAGGGGGCTGCACTCACCTGAACATGCATAAATGGGGTGCTGGTGGGGTCAATCTATACAATACACAAGATCCAGCGCACTCACCTATCCACTAAACAGCAACTTCAGTGATGACAGATTTTTTTTATTTTTTTTAACACCTAATCTAGGCAAAATAATGGGGGTTTAGTTACATTATATGATCATACATTGCATAAGCCTGCCACAACGTCAATGTACCCCATCTTTGGCAGGTCCTACACTAACAGCCTAATGTCTGCTCTTAGGAGATTAACCCACTTACTTGGGGGGGGGGAATTCCATCTGGGGCTCTCTGCAGTAGAAGGCTAAATAGGCCCTGGGATGTTTGCATGTAATTTTAAGTTCACAATGACTCCTGAGTTTAGTAAATCCATGGATTTCGCTATTTATTTTTTAAATTTTTTCCGTGTTCTAATTGGGTTTGTGTAACAATATCCCATCTTCTTCTTTTGAGCTAATGACCGCTCCGTCATGGAATGCTTTTATGTGCTGTGTGTGTGAGAGTCTGGCCTCTGATTCAGTTTCCTGGGTCTAGCTAAGCCCACACGTTGAAACTTGTATCTCTGGCGCTGCTCTCCTAAACTGGAAGTAAATTATCCCACCCCCACCCAGCATGTAAATAAAAAGCAGACCTGTACCGTTTAACTCATTTAGTGCTGAATTGGTTCTTGTACAATGGGGATTTTTTTTTATTTTTTTTATTTTATTACGGTATATTAAAACTTGTGGTATAGTGTATGTGTGCACTCACCTAAACATGCTTAAATGGGGTACTGCTGGGGGACAATAAGTACAGTAAAAATGAAAATCCAGCGCACTCCCTTATCTACTAAACAGCTACTTTGGTGCTGATTTTGATAGTTTTAGTAAAAACACCTAATTTTTTTTATTTTTTATTTTTTTTTTTTACTGTATTTTTGACCAGGGTTGCAATCAAACCTTCAAAGTTTTGAATATTTTGTTTATTTACCGCTAACATACTGGTCAAAATAATCTCTTCACTTTTGTGTAGGATGGGGGGAAAAAAGTGAAACTAATGTATAGAATGTCTTTAATCTAAATGAGGGAGATAAAAAAAAAAAAAAAAAAACTCCAATAGTTGTCCCACAGACCTTAAAGTGTCACTGTGGTGGTTTATTTTATTTTTATAGGGACTACTTTTTCTTACGAAGAGTATAATATTTTGCAATGGGTGGAGCATAAGCAAAGTGTTTTTGTTGATTAGCCAATTACTCACAATCTGTCAATCAAAAGAATCCCACAGGGCAAACTGTAGTATTATGAACAAAATGGCGGCAACCGGATATTGAGATCTGGCGCAACAGATTTAAAGGTAAATGGCAAGGGGGAGGGGATAGTCCTTAAGAAACAAAAGGAAAGTGGGGAAGCCAATGATACTTAAACCTATTCAATAATTCATCCCAAAACACTGGTGCTGACTAATTTCTATTTACTTGACTCCAAGTCTCTCTTTAATATTTGTTACATTATAATTATTATATATTTTTTATATATAATTTTTTGTTTGTTTTTGAGGGGGGGAGAGACTAAATTTAATGCAGAGTAGCCGTGTTTGCCGTCTTTCATCCGTGTTGATATTGCAGGTTCATACAGATCACTGTCCCCTAGTTAAATAAGCCTGTTTATTTCACTCCTGCTGCTGGTTAGTTTAATGAAGCATGGGGCATTGTAGATGTGAGCTGGGCAGCGCTGGCCCCTCACAGGAGGGGGTAATTGTCCATAAAGGCTGTATGCTGTCTGTGCTGGAGTGAAACTGACTGAGGACATTGAGATTCAGGCTTTAATCAGCAGAGACACAGAGCAATTGGGATTTTGTAAAGGGCTTGTTTTGGTGCAAGACCAGGGGTCGGCTGACAATTAAAAGCACCCTACGTCTTCTGATCTGCACTGCTATAAATACAGAGCCATTCTATAGTGTTTGTAGTCCTCAGTTTAAATTTCAAAGTTCTTCTCTGTATTCAGAGACATCCAAAATTTTTGCTTTGTTTAGGCCAAATTATATGGCCATTCTCTGTCACAAATGGATAAATCTCTCATCTATATTTTTGGTTGAGTTGTCTGGAAATATATATATAATTATATATAATTTTTTTTTTTTTTTTTTTAATTATTCTGTATTTAATATTTATTGTGTTTAAAGCTGCTCCTGCCAAGTTTGCTGGAAGAGACAATTCTGTATATTCCAGTTTTGTTAATTTCAATTTAATGTTTAGAAGAAAAAAAAAACATCTCCATATATTTAAATGCCAACATATTAAGTACCTCTGTAAACCAATTGGTGAGGGAACATTTGAGACAACCATTCCCTACCCCACTTCAAATGAAATATTTCACCTCACGTCCTCCCTCTCTAATGCTCTGTCCTCCCATTTACAATCTCTCATAACCCGTGTTCAGCACGACTTGTATAATATATGCAGTTTTGTAGATGTTTGTGACATTTGACTGTAGTTAAAGGAAGCTTGTTTGTGAAAGCTGGGAAGGTTTCCAGTTTCTGTGTGTCTGCCCCCACACATTTTAGAACTTTGTAGTTTGTGCTGAATGACTGGTGCAAATTGCAGATGTATTTATTTATTTTTTTCCTTCTTTTTCAAAGCTCCAAAACCAACCACATCCGTTCATTTCTTAGCCGTGAAATGCATTGATATCCGGAAGGGCCATCACAGTTCCAAGTGGCTCTTGCCATGGGGGAAAGACCAGTGTGAGCACATCCGAGGCTTTGACGAAGCTGCGAGTCGACTTATCGCAGCCAACGATATCGTGTTCTCTGTCCACATTCCATTTAGTGGTCATGAGATGAGCCCTTGGTTCCAGTTTATGCTGATCATCCTACAGCTCGACATTGCCTTCCAGTTCAGAAATGAGATTGGTAAGTTGGAACCTGTAGCTCTGTAATGAATGGCCTCAGTTTACCTGGACTGACGCCGTTCATTTATGTTTCGGTACTTCTGGTTTAAGTTTCCTCCACGGATTACTGCATTGTATGTAGGTGTATTTGAGGATAAGAAGCAGTGGTGTGTGTGTGTGTTTTTTTTTTCCATGTGCAATATGAGGGATAACTACTAAGGTGCAAAAGCAAGTTAACTTCTATGGCCATAGGCACTGGGTGATTGTGGGGTAGGGGGAGAGACTGGGGAAACACAGAGACCTGTTGGTAAAGACCTATTTGGAGTAAGATAAGTATTGGGGGGTCAAATAAGGCAGAGTCAGGGTAAAGAGATGAGGAGACACAGACCAGGTAGTACATGAAGAATAGGGCATCCGCATGCCTACAATCCTCAAATGCATTCCTCTGTTTAAATTTTCACTTTGTGAATTCAGAGGTGTGTGTGTGTGTGTGTGTATCTATATATCTATCTCTCTAATCTCATAAACTACATACCAACTTGATACTGCACCTGCATTCACACTCCCTCTTACTACAGACATAGAACACAAACTGACACAATGTTCACATCCTTACCTGCACACGCACACCCACACTGGCAGTAGACACCTGAATTATTGCATTACTCAACAGACGCTACATAGACCACTACATTCACAATCCCTAAAGCCAGCATACAAATACAGCCCTGCATTCACACACGTGCATTCTCCGATTGAAACCACGCATTCTTCACACATTTTAAATACAAACGATCACCTTTAATCGAGACAGAAAACACATGGGTTTAATCAATAAAATTAGAATTACTGACTATTTACCAAGGAACTACATATTTTCAGGAAAAAAAAGTATGTGATGGTGAATGTTTCAGGGCAGGTATTTTAACCTAAATGTGTGATATTCTCTTACTCGCGGTTCACTATGGTTTGTTTGAATTTTCTCCATGCTAGACTTGTTACTATGTTTTTAATTTTCTTTTATGTTCAGCAGAGAATTATAACCTGCTCTCCGTACCAGAAAGTTTGGCCATTCATTTAAATATATAAAGGGAATCAACACAGTAAAGGAGGAGACTATATTTAAAAGAAGAAAAACTACCACAACAAGAGGACATAGTCTTAAATTAGAGGGACAAAGGTTTAAAAATAATATCAGGTATTACTTTACTGAGAGGGTAGTGGATGCATGGAATAGCCTTCCAGCTGAAGTGGTAGAGGTTAACACAGTAAAGGAGTTTAAGCATGCATGTGATAGGCATAAGGCTATCCTAACTATAAGATAAGGCTAGGGACTAATGAAAGTTTTTAGAAAATTGGGCAGACTAGATGGGCCGAATGGTTCTTATCTGCCGTCACATTCTATGTTTCTATGTTTCATTTAACACTTACTTTTGATTCAGAATGGTTTATTGAATTTTGTTAAATCAAAGTTGATTTCCAGAAACTGGAGGCTTGATTTAGTAATCTGTGAATTTTGGCTCATTACTTTTTTTATTTTTTATTTTTTTTCTCAAATGTAAAAACAATTTGCAGACTTGGCTATTCTTGTCAGCTTGTATATTTTAGACGAAGATGTGCTATTCCCTTTGGAATTATTCATAATTTACCATTAAGTAAATATCATCTGTTATTGGACTGCCATGGAGATGAAACTTGCTTTTTGTGTGTTTACCTCTCAGGGATAAATGTATTTATTTTTTTTATTTTATCTTATGACAAATATTTGGAATTTAACAACAAAGAGTAGCCAGCTTTATCCATTTTTTTTTTTTTTCTTTCTTTTTATTTAAAGATCTTTAACTTCTTTTTAGATGGAAATCTGTTCACTCAACACTAAGAGTTGCTATAAAATTGCTCTTTGCCTTGGAATGGTCTCCATAAAAGCTCCGCTGTTGCGTTTTTTTTTTTTTTTGTTTTGTTTTTTTTGTTTGTTTTTTTTTTAATGGGAACATTTTTCCACTGAATTAGTGGCTTAGGATGATCGTTCATAGTCTTGGACTTAAAAGAATCCATGCTTGGATATCTTAAAGAGGTGGATATACAGCATCAGCCAGGTGGTAGAGAAATAAGAGACTGTTTAACTATTGTAGAATTCTCACTCTTGCCAAGTTTAGGGAAATCTGTTTTGGTCTATCGACAGCTGAATTGCAACCACATTTCAGTGGCTACTCCTTTATTGTCACATTTTCTAAAGGGAAAATATCTGTCCCATGTCAGAGAGCAATACCACTGACTTTTTGCACTTCCCTTTTTAAAAATGAAAATCTAAAAATGACATCCTATTAAGTCACCGTAGTGGCTCTAGAGCCATTCTCTGTATAGTTTCCCATAATATAATCTTTGTTACAGAGGAGAATGCCATGGTGACCCTGGATGTGGCAATGGCTTATCGTGATGACACAAGTGACACTTGGACAGAAATGGCTCACTCCGTAGAACAGAGAAAGCTGAAGTGTGTCTTGCCGGTCCCCAAGGTTTGTTCTCAAGCACTTGGCAAAGTTCAGAATTCTGCCTTCGTGACTACTCAGAATTTTAGAACTTTGTCCAAGATTGTATAGATTTATGTATGATTTTTCTTTTCTTGTGTTGTGTAGAATATATATCTCTTATCTGCATTGATTCATTTTAGATGCCAGATCTGGAGGTCCTAGTAAAACCAAACGATACTCTATCTATCTATCTATCTATCTATCTATCTCCATCCCAATCCCTCACCATATAAGTCAGTTGTAACAAACCCTTATCTTTTAATGCACAGCTTCACAGATGATGTCACACCTCAAAATGGCCAATATACATAGTAAACAATGGAGATGCAGCTGTGAAGCTACAGAAAAAGGCCATAATGTAATACAGTTAAAATGTGTAAAACTGTGTTCCTAAGAATGCACTCACAGTATAAAAATTTTTTTTATTTTTTTTAGCACTTTGGATGCCTCCCCTGAACTCTCTGGGAGATTAACTGTCACCTCACCCCTCAGACTTTTTATTTAATTTTTTTTTGTTTTAGACGGCTGAAAATGAAGGTCGCTATTATGAGTGTGACGTTCTACCGCTACTGGAGATTGGGAGTGTTGCACACAAGTACTACCTACTGAATATCAAACTGCCTGTCAATGAAAAGAAGAAAATTAATGTTGGAATTGGAGAAATAAAGGATTTGCACCTTGTGGTAAGAGTCATTGTCTGTGTATGCAGTCTGATATCCTAGGTTGATTTTAAAGAGCCAGCCCACCTGAAATTGCTTTTATTCGGCATAAACACCCCCCATCCCGGTACCCACATAAGGGCACACCGCATGAGAAAACCGTGCCTAAAGCACACTACTCCAAAATTGCTCGACTTGATTCTGGGAGTGAAAGATATAAAAAAATTTAAATCACTATTTGTCTGCACTAGACCAAATCGCCCACACCTGTTGATACTGGGGAAGCTGCCGCCACCAAGGCAAAATATAAATGGGCGCTTTTGGTTACCCACTAAAATCAGATTTTAAAGGGAACAAAAAAACACAATTTGGAAATCTCTCCATCTATATTCAAACTAAAAGAAATTGGTCTAGATGAATATTCTTGTTCTTGGGTAGAACATTGGCTTAAGGATAGAGTACAACGAGTTGTAATTAATGGTAAATTTTCAGGCTGGACAAAAGTGGTAAGTGGTGTCCCTCAGGGTTCTGTTTTGGGACCACTTCTATTTTACATATTTATAAATGATCTTGAAATAGGCATTGAAAGCCATGTATCAGTGTTTGCAGATGACACAAAACTTTGTAAAGTAATAAAATGCTGCAGAGAGATTTGGATAGATTGGGGCACTGGGCACTAAAAGTTCTGCACTTTGGGGTTAAGAATGCACAAGCAACTTACACACTAAATGGTAGTGAATTAGGGATAACCACACACGAGCAGGATTTGGGAATTGTTATAGACAACAAATTAGGCAGCAATATGCAATGTCAATCTGCAGTTGCTAAGGCCAGTAAGGTTTTGTCATGTATAAATAGGGGCATAAATTCTCGGGATGAAAATATAATTCTGCCTCTTTATAAATCGCTGGTAAGACCACACCTTGAATATGCTGTGCAATTTTGGGCGTCTGTTCTAAAGAAGGATATCATGGCACTGGAGAGGGTCCAGAGAAGAGCTACAAAATTGATAAAAGGAATGGAGCATTTTAGTTATGAAGAAAGGTTAAAAAAATTAAATCTGTTTAGTTTGGAAAAACGGCGCCTGAGAGGGAATATGATAACTTTGTACAAACATTTATCTGGAAATCTATTCATAAACAGGGCTATACATAGGACACGAGGTCACACATTTAGGCTGGAAGAAAGGAGATTTCATCTAAGGCAAAGAAAAGGTGTGGGGTTTTTTACAGTACGAACAATAAGGATATGGAATTCTCTGCCTGAAGAGGTGGTTTTGTCAGAGTCCATACAGATGTTTAAACTGAAATTGGATAAATACTTACAAAAACATAAAATACAGGGATATCATTTCTAATTAGTGGGTTAATAGCTGCTTGATCCAAGGAGACATCTGACTGCTATTTTGGGGTCAAGAAGGAATTTTTTCCTAGTTTGTGGCAAAATTGGAAGCGCATCAGACCAGGTTTTTTGCCTTCTTTTTGATCAACAGCAACAACATTTGTGAGGAAGGCTGAACTTGATGGACGCAAGTCTCTTTTCAGCTATGTAACTATGTAGTAATATATTGCTATTTAAATAGGTCTCTTTGGGTTTGTGAATCCAGATACTGGAGCCCAAAGACAGAATTGGACTGTTTATATTTCAACAACAAACAGACAAAAAAGTCACAGTGACAAAAAGTATCTTCCAGTAGGCCAAGTGGAAACGTCAAGTTTAAATCCGGTCCAATGGTTTTTCAGGTATAAAGACAGAGAAACAGACAGTTTGGTCTGTGTCCAGCAAAGCCATTGCCTCCTCCCCACATGACTAGTTTATCATAATATAATTGTTCCTTACGATTACTGGTGTGGACTCCTCTTTGATTAAGCACTTGATGAGCTTTTATTACTAGGTTCTGGCTGCAGGGCTTCTCTGTGAAGGTGTTAAAATACAAAATCCCATCAAAGCTCTTTTGATCAAAATTCCTGCCAGAATAGACATAAATGCTAATTCTAAAAAAGACTTCAGGTGAACCCAGGATGCCAAACCCAAACCTGCAGGTAATTCCAGTGGCACCTTGTGATGCTGGGACAAAATATACCCACTGTGCTACATAATGTAGACTCTGAGGTTTTCCTAAAGATTGTGCTTTTATGAAAAAGTTGTCTCTATTGCAATTAGAATGTGACTGACGTTCCAGCGCAAATCCCCAATTGTACATGGGATGGCGTACCTACTACTTCATCTCGTGTATATGACCGTTTAACATGGAAAGCAGAGCTTGCTATTCCTTGCCTTTAAACTAATCAGCTGTCTGTTAAGATTGCCATGGGAACAGGCATGTTCGTGAATGCAGTGTATGCGATTGATCTGTAGAGGACCTTGTATGATCCTCTGTAGTCCCTGTCTTTTTAAAGGACACCTGCTATGGAACACACTAATTATTCTCATTCTGAAGACCATAGCATTTTATTTATGCATTGACCTGGGAGAATTGTTAGCAGATTCATAGATTTGGAGGGAAAAACTAATTTAACAGTTTTTTTTTTTTTAAATTAACTTTCAAGGAGCCCGGGTTAGCCCTCCTACTCTCAAAGCAACCACAATGTATGTGCTAAGGTCTGTTAATATCTCAATAGTCTGCATTAAGTATATCCTTTTATCTCTATGATAAGATATATTCACTGACCACAGAGTGAACTTGTCATGACAGATTTGATTTAACATGAACTCCAATTATTTTGATGTTGAAATTTTAAAAACACAATTTCCATTTATTTTCCCCATAGGGCATCTTTCAGAATGGAGGTTTTACAAAGGTCTGGTTTGCAATGAAGACGTTTCTCACGCCCACCATTCTAATTATCATGATTTGGTACTGGAGACGAATTACCCTTATGACTCGATCGCCAGTTCTTCTGGAAAAGTAAGTACATTTCTTCTAAGACTTTTTGTTTATTTTATTTTTTTTTCTCTCTCCCTGCTTTTGAGAATATCGATCTTTTGGGCTTCTTTATCTACAGACCAATTGCAATTCGTTAGCATGTTTTGGTTCTGCCATCTTAATGTCCCGTACTAATCTGCTTTTGGGATTTCTTATTTGGAAACCATAAATTGGGTTTAAAGTGGGTTGGTTGGCGTTGAGGTAGAGAGGCCCACAACTCACCTTCCAACCTGGTAGTTTTAAACTAAGCTTTACAAGTTGGGATTTAATTCACTACTTTGTAGATCTAAACAAAAAAAAAAAAAATTCAACATGTTGGAGTAAAACTTTGCGAATGCTCTTGACCCTTCTGAGTGCTGGAAGAATGATCTCCTATTGCTATAAAGTCCTTATAAACTTCTTTCCACTTTGGGCTGGACTATGAGGGTCAAAAGGAGACCCTATCAGTTTGAACTAATAGAAGGGTGTGTGTTTTTGTTTCCTTCACATACAGGACTGTTTACCTTTTTTGTATTTTCTCATTGTCAGAGTAATTTTTGCGTTGGGAATTTCCATGACCTTCATTAATATACCTGTCGAATGGTTTTCCATTGGCTTTAACTGGACGTGGATGCTGTTATTCGGGGATATTCGGCAAGGGATTTTCTATGCCATGCTTCTGTCCTTCTGGATAATCTTCTGTGGGGAGCACATGATGGTAAGTTGTTTCCAGTCCTATTACAACATTCTGGCAAAACACAACGGAACTTCTACATTACACTGAAAAGCGTGCCAGTCCTGCCCAGGCTTAAATTAATGTGCATTCTGTTTCATCTTTATGAAATATAATGTATACATTTTATATGAGGTTATGGTCCAAGACAAGGGCTGATTGACCAGGAGAGCCAGAGAACCCTCCTAATGGCTGATCTGCCCTGCTTGGGGAGATGTCCTTAAACCGTGCCAGTCGCTGCAAATAAGGGATGGCCGTGGACCGTAGGTTCTGCAATAGCGGAACATCTACTGTCCCTCTAGGAATAGAGGCGTTGGAGTGAGGGGCTGCAGGTGGTAAAGGTATAACCCCTCCCAAAGTGCATGAATATATCATTTATCACTATGATAGAATTAAAAAAAATATATATATATATATATATAATTTTTTTTTCTTTACACTACACATCGAACTAAAAGGGATGATTTGTATAGAACTGCAATAAATCCAACTACTGTATCGAGAGTAGGATATGAACCAATCATTGGGACTATTAATTTCAAGTGCTTGTTAACAAAATGCTCACACTGTAAAGTCATGTAACTACAGTTTCCTATATAAAAATGGGCAAGAGGTTTTTCCCAGATCTTAAAATGAGGCGAAAGACACCGGATCGAAGTGACTTTGTCTATGGTATGTTTCTTTGTTCCAAATCTCAAACTGACTTCCTTCCCTATGGCTATATAGCTGTAGCGAGATTTATTTTTAAATTGCTAAAGAAGTAACATAGAATGTGACGGCAGATAAGAACCATTCGGCCCATCTAGTCTGCCCAATTTTCTAAATACTTTCATTAGTCCCTAGCCTTATCTTATAGTTAGGATAGCCTTACGCCTATCCCACGCATGCTTAAACTCACTCACTGTGTTAACCTCTACCACTTCAGCTGGAAGGCTATTCCATGCATCCTCTACCCTCTCTGTAAAGTAATACTTCCTGATATTATTTTTAAACCTTTGCCCCTCTAATTTAAGACCATGTCCTCTCATTGTGGTAGTTTTTCTTATTTTAAATATAGTCTCCTCCTTTACTGTGATTCCCTTTATGTATTTAAATGTTTCTATCATATCCCCCGTCTCGTCTTTCCTCCAAGCTATACATGTTAAGATCCTTTTAACCTTTCATTGTAAGTTTTCCTTGTGAGTAAATATGTTCAGTTAATAATTCCCTTGACCTGTAGCTGGGATTTTGTTGGTGTAGTTCCCTGTTTATAATGTCCTTCATTTTATTTTAAAGGAACACTATAGTCACCAAAACAACTTTAGCTTAATTAAACCATTTTGGTGTATAGATCACGTCTCACTGCTCAATCCTCTGCCATTTAGGAGTTAAATCACTTTGTTTATGAACCCTAGTCACACCTCCCTGCATGTGACTTGCACAGCCTACGATAAACACTTCCTGTAAAGAGTCATCTACAGTTTATCCTTCCTTTATTGCAAGTTCTGTTAATTTTTGGATTTTCTTCTCCCCTGCTATGTAAATTGCTTGCGAGACCCTACAAAAGCCTCCTGTATGTGATTAAAGTTCAATTTACAGAGCAAGAGATAAAATTGTTTAAGGTAAATTACATCTGATTTGAAACCAGTGGTTTTTTTTTTTTTTTTTTCATGCAGGCTGTGTCAATCATAGCCAGGGGAGGTGTGGCTAGGGCTGCATAAACAGAAACAAAGTGATTTAACTCCTAAATGGCAGTGAATTGAGCAGTGAAACCTGAGGCATGAAATGTACACTAGAACTGCTTCATTAAGCTTAAGTTGTGTAGGTGACTATAGTGTCCCTTTAACATTGTGTGGGCCACTTCATTTTAATAATTTGGGTTGAGTGTAATGAACATTTAAAAAAATAAATAAATAAAAAAATCTTTAGACTTTCTAATCTCTATTTATAGGATCAGACTGAGAGAAACCGAATCTCTGCTTACTGGAAGCAAGTCGGTCCCATTGCTTTTGGTTCATGCTGTCTGTTTATATTTGATATGTGTGAAAGGTAAGTGTTTATCTCGATGATTGGATTCTAAGCTATAAAACTTATTTCTTCATCTCAGTTGCCTGTGGTGATAACGGTGTGAAAGGATTGTCAAGTTGGGTGAAAGTAGTAAATCCTTAATTTGTGGAGTTGTCTTTAAAAAATTTTTTTTTTTTTTTTTTTTCTCTTCTAACTGTGGTCTTGGTTTTTAATAAGTTTCCATAAGCTTTTAAATGTTCACAGTCTCTTTGACTTGAACAGTGACTCCCACAGATATCTTATTTGAAACCTATTTTTATATTATTTCTTAGGGAATTGTTGGAGGTAAATTATTTTGAAAAGCTTTTCTAATAGACTGAGCAATTGAAAAGCACATCCAATAATATTAAATCCAGGCCTCTGTCAACGTATAATCACGATATCCTTAAGGTGCGAGAATGACTTGACCAATGTGCCAAATTATTCGGCCTATAGCTTATAACCCTAGACGTTATTAAAAGTATTAAATAAGAGCGATTTGTCAGATTTAAGTTGCTTGTGATCGTTCAAATGCTATAGTTACTATGTGAAGAATTTGGGTTTTATTGGTAAAATATGTATACAATATTACATGACCTAGAAACCGAATACAGGCTCTAAATAAGAATTCTTTACTCAAAATGTGTACAGTCTCCCTTGCATGCCACAAGTGTCTGATCTACAATAAACCGCTCAAAATACTTTTTACTTTGTGTGTAGAGGAATTCTAATTACCAACATTGCAAAATGGAAAATAAATTCTCATTAACCTCATTCCTTCCCCCTCTTGTTCACAATTTCAGAGGTGTTCAATTGACTAATCCATTCTACAGCATTTGGACGACAGATGTTGGAGCGGAGCTTGCTGTATCCTTAATTGGGGGGAACAGGGGGATAGGGAAAGCAAAACGGTGGTTACAAATCTAACCTTGATTCAAGAGGCTTACTGCACTGGGTGATGAGAACACTCTAAAATTGGCCCACAGACCTCCGTGTAAAGCAAAAAATGTAGCATGCCCAATGCATGGCTTTCTTTTTTTTTTTGTTTTTTTTTTTTGTTTTCACTGGATCATTCAGAGATCAAAGCACTGGCAATAGTGTATGCTGCAGGTACTCCTATACACACCTAGACATCTCAATTACATGATCTGGGTGCCATGTCCCTGGATGATTAACATGTCTCTAGTGGCTGTCTAAAACTGAATTTAGAGTCCGTTTCAGCTCACATGACTCTCAATGAGAGCATTTCATTGGCACAGAATTTCGCCGTGCATGCGCATCAGCCCCTAATGATTACTGGAGAGGAGCATTGGATTGGCTGAGACCATTAACACTGAAGAGGCAAAGAGATCAGCACACCACGGGATGTAAGGTAAGTAAACATGACCTTTCACACCCCTGCAAGAGGGGAACACCTATATAAGTAGGGGAGCGCTGTAACTTTGGGAATACATGTTCTGTGTTCTTTTTAGTGTTCTTTTAAGATTCTCTTCCATGCCCCTCCCCCCCCCTCCACCCCCCTTATAGATTTCCTATCTCTGCACTATTAATCCCTTTGCTTTAAAGCAAATGTAGATATTGCTTCTCCTCATTAAATTGCAAGGAACATTCTCACCCCGCCCCCTCTTCCCGAGTTCTCTTTTTACACCAGCCGAGCAGAAGTGACAAGTCTCTCAACTCCATATAACTGTACTTAATGCCTTTAATATTTTATGACTTGTTGATACCATCCGCAGTTACACTGATTTAATGTTAAGTGCTTGGCAACTGATGGGCCCCTGGAGTGCACACAGGAAGGATGGGGGCAGCATATATTTAACCTCTTTAGAACCATTGGCAGATTATTATATATTTATTTATTTTTATGCCATGTACCCTTTCATATTTTATTTTATTTTTATTTTTCTCAATTACATAATAATTGAATGTCAGGTTGCTGCTGAACAAAGTGGTTAATAAAAAGGTAAAACTGTTAAAGAAATTGTCCTAGTTGAGGTTAAAGTCTTTGTGATGTTTGGGAATGGGTTTTATTTTTATTTTATTTTTTGTGATGTTCAATTGGACGTTTACACCTAGAACGCCCTGTCATTGTTGTATTTTAGAGCCTAAAGTGCGGCATATAAACAATCTTAGTTTTTTTTATTGTATTTTATTGAAAGCTGGGTACAGAAAGCAAAAGGAAGTTGAATTAAATGAAACACAATACATAACATCAATATCCTATCAATTCCGCATGTGCAAGACAAAATCGCTTACAAATCATGGACGGTTAGACCTATAGTAGAAGTTCTAAACCAGTTTTAATCTTCTCCTGTTTAATTTTTTTTAAAGTAACTAATAAAATAATCTTCCTGATGGTCAGTGTATTGGATTCCAGCAGTGTTTGTTTTTTTTAAAGGGTTTCTCTATGTGCAATGCACAGCAGTGGAATATTGGCTGCCGTCATGGATATGGGTGTGTTCCATTGGTTTCTGTGATTTCCTCTGCTCTATCAGACAGTCCTGCCCAGTGTTGGCTGAACGCTGCAGTAACCCTTTGGGGAGAGAAATCTGTTCCACAAATAGCCCTGGAAAACCAACAACGAATTAAACCTAAAGCAAAACTAAAATCAAGGAAAACATGCAATCCTATCCAGAAAAATTACATTTTAATAAAACTTTATCTGTGAAGCAAATAAAAACCATGAGGATAAACCATACCGAAAACCAAACTAAAGGAACACTGCAATTATGTCTCCAGGTACCACCTGGAGGGAATAAAAAAGATTGGATCATTCTGGGTGCCTATAATGTCCCTGCAAGTGTAGATCTCCAAACAGTCTGTTGGTAATTAATGGAGTTACAAGATCTAGAGCAGATGTTCTTAACTGTAGTTTGGCAACTCGTCCTTCAGCTGAAAAATTAGCTAAGTGACCCATTCTTCATTTTTGAAATATAATTACAGTTGTGCATCACCTGTATATCTCAAGTTGGACTTGGACAAGTTCCACTTGTGCACAGAAGAAACTCTGAGAAATATTGATGTAAGCACCTTCTGTTAAATTAAAGGACCACTATAGTGCCGGGAAAACATACACTTTTTTTTTTTTTTTTTTTCTGGCATTATAGTGCCCTGAGGGTGCCGGGCTGGATGGCGAGGAAAGGGGTTAAACTTACCTTTATTCCAGCGCCGGGCGGGGAGCTCTCCTCCTCCGATCCTCTTTGGCTGAGTGCGCATGCGCGGCAGGAGCTGCGCGCGCATTCAGCCGGTCTCATTGGAAAGCATTTATAATGCTTTCCTATGGACGCTTGCGTCTTCTCACTGCGATTTTCACACTGAGAAGCACGCAAGCGCCTCTAGCGGCTGTCAATGAGACAGCCGCTAAAGGCTGGATTAACCCATTTATAAAAATAGCAGTTTCTCTGAAACTGCTATGTTTATAAAAATTAAAAAAGGGATAATCCTAGAGGGACCTGGCACCCAGACTACTTCATTAAGCTGAAGTGGTCTGGGTGCCTAGAGTGGTCCTTTAAGTCTCTGTTGCACTGTGCAAGGCAGGGCTGCTAAAGGAACAGAACAATTTGTGAGCATTTTTTCTGGATCCTGAGAAATCGAATGTGCCCTTCTCAAACTGGGTGGCACTGTAGACCCCAAAACTGTATTATCTAATTTAAGTGGTTAAAGTGTCTGGAGTCCCGTGGTGCTGTCCCTTTATTCTGCATTAAACAGTTTTTTTTACTGCTAAACAAAAGTCCCCATAAACTCAGCCTCTCTGTGCTATTTGGGATAATGAGGAAGTATTGGCTTGAGCAGCAATTGGAGGCTGTGATTGGCTGAGAGTCTCAGCTGGCCATTTTCAGCCTGTCACAGCGCCCGTTGATGGTATGAATTGGTATGGCTAGAAAGAAGTGTGTAATCTTTGCCATAGCTCTGCCTCTACCGGAGGTATGGCTATGTGAAGTCATTAACCATCGTTCAGTGTTAAACTGCTGGAAAATAACAACATCTCATTGAATTGGTTATAGTGCCTGGAGTCTCCTGGCATTGTCCCTCCATTTAATGTTACAGTACTTGCGTGTGTCCCTTTTAAATGTATCATTGCTCCAGAGTCACACACATTAAATGCTTCGTACTAGGGCCATAATTGCTGGTAACTTCCCTTCTAATATTGGACAAAGGGTGAGCTTTTCAGGGCTTCTATTAAAGTCCTAACTGCCTTCCATAATGTAAAGCTGGCTTAATCTCCTCTCACCTTTTGGTGCCCTCTCAGTATTTCTGTAATATAGCAGAGCGGTTCTTTGTAAATTTTATATATCTATCTATCTATCTCTATCCTAGTTTTTTTTACTTACACTCCCTCTTTCAGTTTCTGTTTACCCTTCAACTAGACCATTTGCTACATGTACACATCCGTTGTGTGATGAGTTGTAAATACTGCATTGTCTGTTCTGTTTTTTGTAAATTGCTGAATATGGATCGTTTTTTATATTGTTTTAACTAGAACACAGAGTGCCTGTTTTTATTTTTTCCTTGACGCGGGTGTTCAGATGGCTTTCATTATTGTAGCCGGAATCTGTGCTTGTCTTTATTTCTTGTTTCTCTGTTTTATGGTCTACCAAGTCTTCCGGAATATTAGCGGCAAACGCTCCACGTTGCCAGCCATGAACAAGGCGCGCAGACTGCACTATGAGGTGAGCAGGCTTAACCCTCTATGCTCCTTTAGCTAACTGTTTGAGTGCCAGAAACCAGGAATCTGCTGTTCTCTGCCAGTTTAATGTCAATATGACCACATAATAATAATTGATCTGTGACAATTCTGTGTCCTCTCCTACAAGAATGTGCAGAACGACCTCCTCTCTATTCCTGCCTTTCTGAAGTATAGTGGATCACATGATCAACATTGCACTAATTAAAGGCAACTGTCCCCTCAAAACTATATTTTAATAGAATAATCCTTTTAACATGTAATGAAAAGTATTTATTTTTACATGAAGTCTATGTAAAAATTGAGCCCATCAGTGAAAACTCAGTCTGTGGTCTTACCTGATGCTCTCCCTGCAGAATCAGGAAAGTACATAGACTATGCAAGAGTGCCTTTTGTTTGAATGAATGGGCAAATTCTCTCCTTTCAAAATTAGTTTTTTTGCCTGCCTTACCCACTCTCTCACCCCCTTTTGAATCTTGGTTGGATTAGCAGTTATTTGACCCAATGCTTACTATATTCTGTTTTGTCCAATACTGAGCGTTAATTCTGCCTGATTTGTAGCAGGTAGGAGCACCTAATAAAAAGCGCTGAAAGGTTGGCAGTTTATTTCTTTAAACTTCAATATACATGAATTAAAAAAAAAAAAAAAAAGTAACCTTTTGGTGAATGGAAACCGTATCTTTTGAGTTGATCAATAATTGCTTTGGAATAATTCACTAATTTCCTTTGAAAATCACCTAATAGGTTTGTGAACCCTTTTCCTGAGATGCTCTGTTTACTTTTAAATGTTTATATAATGGATTAAGCAGTTCAGTGCTGGCAGATAAATTAATCCTAGGAAGTCACAGATCTCCTGTAAGTATCATTCGGAACAGAACCATCGCACATTCCTGTCTGAATTGTATATCACCACCTGCTGGCCAATAGTGTTAATGCAGCCAACCTGCTTGCCTAGTAAAATAGAGAAATAAGGAATAGTTGAACATCTTGCGACATTTTAAGTGTTGTCAGCACTAAACAAATAAAGAACACGAATGTAAACCAGCAGGAATGGACCGTCTGGTCTAGACTATGTATCCTACTTTGCATGTTGTTGAATAATTATATAATTTAATTCCAATTTTTTTTTTTTTTTTTCCCTCCTCCTCCGCAGGGTCTGATATTCCGGTTCAGATTTTTGATGATCATAACCTTGGCTTGTGCGGCTATCACAGTTATCTTTTTCATCACCACCCAGGTATGGCCAGGTTGCATTGGGTCTTTGAACCCAGGTTCAGAGAGAGTTGCAATATTACTGTCTGTAATGCCTCTAAAATACATTCCTCCCTCCTGTTTGCTTCCACTAAAGAAAAACTTCCTCTCGATAACCACAATGTATGTAGAACATGGAACTAAGAAGTAACCAGTTAACATTGTGTAGAACTGCTGAACTTCTAACATAAGCAGGACTTTGTCTACAGCAATGGTTTCTGGGAATTATAGGTCAATAGTTGAAATTAAACTCCCAGAGACCTTAGACATGACATGTGCGATCGCAGGAACACGTTAAAAACTGCCAGATGGGGAGAGGGCTGAAAGGAGCACATATGGAGTGTATCTTTAACCTGAATATAAAAATTCTATAACTTACTGTAACGTGTGTGTGTGTGTGTGTGTGTGGTCTAAATGCTTAGAAATTATTTTTATATTTAAAAAAAAAAATTTAAAAAAATAAATAATCCAGGAGCTCCCCTTATTGGCCCTCTGATACTGTCTGATGTTACCTCTGTTGGTCTAGTTACACCTAATAATGAAATGTTAACTAGAAATGTTGGGCTTGGCAACCTTCCATCGTCTGTGGTGACATCGCAAACTGCAGGGGATTAAAGCAGAGCTGGGTTATATATATTTATATATTTATATTTATATTTATATATATATATATATAATTATATTTGGTCCTAATAATACCTCAACAAAAAATCTTTTTACATCCGCTGTGTTTATTGTGACGTGCCATTAAGGGTTATGTTTTTATGTATGTTTTGTTTGTGTTTTTTATTTGTTTGTGTTTTTTTTTTTTGTCCTGCAGATTTCAGAAGGAAATTGGAAATGGGGAGATGTACCAATTGAACTGAATAGTGCATTTTTCACTGGCGTGTACGGCATGTGGAATGTCTACGTGTTTGCCCTCATGTTCCTGTATGCGCCGTCGCACAAGAACTATGGAGAAGACCCGTCAAACGGTGAGAACTCCTGTTTGCACAGTTTATTTGTATACAACTGGAAATTTAAATTCTATGGTTGCTCTGTACCGGTTACGAAGTAGCAAATAATATCCCCAATTTTCTCAAAGTCCAATAAATTCCACTGAGTAAAGGGCCGTAACCCACACAAGCGAAACCAATACAGGGAAGACGTTCACAGCTGTTTGTGACACACATTCCTTTCTGTTTTTAATATAGTGTATTTCCCCAAGTGAATCTGCCATAATAATGTCATTGATCACTAAATTGGAGTTTAGCAGATTTTAACTTTCAATAATGTATTTTTCTCTACTAGCTAATGGTGAGTCATCTCTGGAACTAAATATGTGAAGTTGTTTTTTATTGAAACCTTTTACGGCTAATCTTTTGGTTTGAAGAAGATTTGAAACCGAACAGTAACGTAAAGGAACATGCGTCACTTGGCAAGTTGTGTGAGGAGTTTCTTCAGCCTCACCATCCATTCACCCCACCTTCCTTCTTCTTCTGAATTCTTCTCATTCTTAGACCAGTTCACTAATGACAGAAACAGGGCATCAGTATGCAGAACAGGAGAGCGAGATAGGACACAGGATCCTGCTCTGCATCATCACTTTGATTAGATTCCCTCTCTTCTACCAACGTATTAATTTAGATTCCACTACCATTTGTACACTGATTATACCCAGATATATCATCTCCTCCCCTGCAGTCCTACAATGTGTCACCGGTTGCCTTTCTTCCATCTCTGATTGGATGTCCTCCCGCTTCCTGAAACGCAATTTCTCTAAAACAAAGCTTCTTATTTTTATTTTATTTTTCTTCTCCTAATACTAATATGCCTCTCTCCATGCAACTTTATGGTACCCTAATCAGTCCATACTTGCAGTCTTCATGTTCTCTTTAATTCTGTCCAATCTGTTGCTAAAAACCTGTCAATTCAGCTTAAAAACATTTCCTGTGTACACTCCTTTCTCATGCAAGATGCTGCCAAGTAGCTTGTTCATGCTCTGGTAATCTCTCACATGGATTACTGTAACTCTCTCTCCTTGTTGGTCTCCCCAGAAGCCGAACTGCCTCACTACAATACGTAATGAATGCTGACAGGCTGATCTTTCTCACCCGTCGCTCCTCCCATACCTCGCATCTTTGTCAATCCTTACACTGGCTTCCTGTATCCTATAGATGTCAATTCTAAATCCTAACCATTATCTATAAAGCCCTAAACAACTCTAGCCCCGGTTACATTACTTCACTATTTTGTAGGTACGCCCCTTTGCGGTCTCTGCTATGCTGGCAACCTTCTCCAGTCCGCTGCTCGCACGCTTACTGCTAACACGCTCTTGCAGAACTTCTCGCGGGGGGCTCCTTTCATTTGGAACAGCCTGCCTACCGCCATCAGACTCTCCACTAGTCTTCAATCATTTAACAAGTCCCTCAAAACCATCTCTTCAGAAATGCTTATGGCCTCCCAGAATAACTGCATCTCACATGTCTGTCTCTTGCCGAACTACACTCACATCTCACACACCCCACAAATTATAAACAAAATAATGGCACAATCTTGCACTTCTAGATTCACAGACTATAATTTCACATGTACAGAAACCAGCATTATTAAAGGAAAACTTCCCCTCAATCTGTTAGATGTGTATGAATCGGGGAAATATGCATCACTATATATAAGCATACATGCATAAGAGTATGGGAAAGCATAGGTCTACACATAGTACTTCGTATATTGATAGAAGCTTGTCATTAAAAATTCTGTTAGTCCAATAAAAAAGGTATTACAAGATACGAATTTTAACTATATATACCTGTATATAAATAAAAATTATTTGAAAAAAATTATATATAATAATTATTCGTATATATTTATGTAATAATTTTACATAATTAGATCATTTTATTAATTACAATTTGCGGGACCTGCCTGACAACCCAGGCCGAAAGTCCAGGGAATTTAATTTGCTAGCACTATATTTAACCCTGTAAGACACCATAAAACTTGTACATGGGGGGTACTGTTTTACTCGGAAAACTTCGCTGAACACAAATATTAGTGTTTCAAAACAGTAAAAAGTACTACAACGATGATATCGTCAGTGAAAGTGCAATTTTTCACACACAAATGGCACTTACACTGACGATATAATTGTTGTGATACGTTTTACTGTTTTGAAACACTAATATTTGTGTTAAGCAAAGTCTCCCAACTTTTGAAAGTTAGAGGGTCAGATGTAAGGCCTTTTTTCACATTGAAATTTCCCAGATTGGTTATGTTGCCTTTGAGAGCGTATGGTAGCCAAGGAATCAGAATTACCCCCATGATGACATACCATTTGCAACCCAAGGTATTGCAAATGGGTTATGTTCAGTCACAAACACTGGCCAAACTTAGCGTTCATACCGTATGTTTTCCTTTAATGTTCCTACAACATATATGTATTTGCTATGCTTTCATCTTGTATTTGTACTTCATAATTTCGATTTTCAGTCAGGAACGGTTTTTGGTTAGGTTTTTGACGAAGGGACATTTGGTTAGGTTTTTGGTCAGGAACGGAACCCATGTTTATTACATTGCAGTCTATGGGAAATTAGTGCTCACTTTATGAACTCTCACTTTATGAACAGGCTTTGGAACCAATTAGTTAGTAAAGTCGGGAACAACCTGCATTTGTACATTGTGGGGGCAGTATGAGTAGCAGTATGTGTATTCATTGTGAGAAGTGGAGCTGTGGCTGTGTACAGTATGGGTAGCAGAGCTATGTGGTTACCTGTCATTTGAGACTGTCAGAGTCCAGTCCTCTCCACTATCCCTCCTGCGATCGCCTGTGTTCAGTCTGAGGGGGCGGGGTCATGCACTGATTGCTGTGTTCAGTCTGAGGGAGTGAGGTCATGCACAGATTGCTGTGTTCAGTCTCAGGGGGCGGAGCCATGCACAGATTGCTGTGTTTAGTCTGAGGGGGCTGAGTCATGCACCGATTGCTGTGTTCAGTTTGAGAGGGTAGGACAATACTCAGACTGAATACAGTGAATCCTTACTCAGCCCAGTAAAGCACCCAGAGCTCAATCAGCTGTTCCACTTCCCTTTGCAGCAGGTAGCCTTCTGGAAGACCAACATTTCATTATATTTTTACATACCCTGTTATTTTTGTTGTGTGTGTTTTTATATTTAGTGATTATTTTATTATTTTCAATGTATTTATTTCCATGTCTTTGTTAACTACAGCCTGTTCCAGTGACGTACACACAATCCATGGGGCCCCAGGTGCGAAACTGATCCGTGGGACCCCCACCTCCCCTGTCTCCCCCGATCCGTGCGCCCCGCCCATACCCTCTGACACATACATACAGACACACACACACAAACATACACACAGACAGACAGACACACACACATACATACACCCCCCGACAGACACATATATACAGACACACACATATATACACAGACAGACACACACAGACACATACATACACACACATACAGAGACAACGACAAACACACATACAGAGACACACACACATACAGAGACACAGCCACATACTGAGACACACATACATACAGAGACACAGACACACACATACAGAGACACAGACACACACATACAGAGAGACACACACATACAGAGAGACACACACAGAGACACACACACACATACATACAGAGACACACACACACACATACAGAGACACAGACACACATACAGAGACACAGACACATACAGAGACACAGACACAAACACACACACACATACAAAGAGACACACACATACAAAGAGACACAGACAGAGACACACACACATACAGAGACATAGACACATACAGATACATACATATACAAAATGTTTCCTACCTTGTGACTTTCCCTGGGGGCTCAGCCTGATGGATGTCAGAGTTCCCACTCTGACTCCCTCCTCCTCCTTCCTCCCGCGTGGGCTGATAGCTGGGAGGAGTGACCAGGGAATCACTTCCTCCCAGCTCTGTGATGTAATCACAGGGGGCCCGGTCGCGCTGTTAAAGCGCCCAGCGCTGACCGGGCCCCTGATAATCCATATTATCCCTAACATGCGGCCCAGGCGGTTTGCCATGCGGGCAGGGGCCGCAAAATGTGGCAGCTGGTACCAGGTCGCGGGGGTCCGCAGGGCGGCCTGGCCCCCTGGAGTGATGGGCCCGGTCGCAGCTGTGACCCCTGCGACCACAGTATGTACGCCACTGGCCTGTTCTAATCATACTTTAAATATCCCCGGTAGTGATGTCCCGAAAGGTTCGCGAGCGGTTCGCCACGAACGGTTCGCCACGAACGGTTCGCAGCGGACTCATCATTGAGTAAACTTTGACCCTGTACCTCACAGTCAGCAGACACATTCCAGCCAATCAGCAGCAGACCCTCCCTCCCAGACCCTCCGACCTCCTGGACAGCTCACTAAGAATGCAGCTTTACAATGAATATAAAATGGATGCTGTCCAGGAGGTGGGAGGGTCTGGGAGGGAGGGTCTGCTGCTGATTGGCTGGAATGTGTCTGCTGACTGTGAGGTACAGGGTCAAAGTTTACTCAATGATGAGTCCGCGGTGAACCGTTCGCGAACCGTTTGGCGAACCGTTCGGGACATCACTAATGGCACATTGCTCATTTTCTCACCTTTGTCTTGTCCATTATGTTAAAATTAGTTTAACCAGCTCAGGCCCATATGTCTTTCTTACATTTGTTTAATGGTTTTATTACCCACATGAATACCTCTGTCTTATATCTGTAATTTTTTAATCTTTACCTTTGTTTTTGCTTAAATGACCCTTAAGTCAAGGTCTATATATGCATTTTCCGCATCCCTTAGCCCATATATATATATATATATATTTTTTTTTTTAAATAAAATGGTTTAATAAAAAAAAAAAAAAAGGTGTGCTCTCACTATGCATACAATACATAACAAGTGCACTGGACTCCATACAGGATTTGAATGCCGTTCGTCAAATAGATTAAAATCGACCTTTGTTTAAAAAAAAACAAAAAACACAATAATATTTGTCCATAATGTGCGGGGGCATGGGCAGTGCAAGGCAACTTCTCCACCTCTTTTTAAAAATCGGAAACCGCTTTATTTATAAGGATAATACTAATTGTGTGTGTGTAGTGTATCTTTGTTGTAAAAAGTTAGGTGAACGTGTCTAACTCGTAGATCAGCAGAGACTTTCTTTAACAATGAGGTTGGTTTTTTTTATTTTTTGCAACCTCATTGTTAAGAAAGTCTCTGCTGGAGGGGCGGAGCCTGCGCTCGAACGGAATGGCCGCGTGAGTGGAGAGCTCCCGAGCCGACGGCTAAATACAGCGGCACAAACAGCATCCTACCGGCACAAACACTTCCCAGAGTGAGGTATTGCCACAATGTCACAGAGGGGAGCAAGGAGGGTGACCGACGCCAAAGAAAAGCACTCGTTTTTCGCCGCGAAAACGGCAAGCCACAAGTCACAGGCTCAGACGGGACAAGATGGCGACGGCAGTGGGGATGAACAGGAAATTCCCAAGCCACATTCCCCACAACAGCCTGCACCCAGCACCATGCAAATACACGGTGAGCTGTTCCAGACAATGTTAGATGACATGGCTGCAAAAATACAAACAACAGTCCATGCAGCAATAGCGGACCTAAAGAAAGATATTGCCGACATAGGAAACCGTACAGCCCACATGGAAAGCAAGATGGCGGAATATGCCGCAGCACACAACAGCATGGCAGAAAAAATTGAGGAGCTGGAGGCAAAGCTTGAGAAGCAAGAAGTAAAAAACATGGACCTTGAGGACAGATCCAGGCGCCAAAATCTCCGGGTGAGAGGTATACCTGAAGACGTACAGGCTGCAGACCTCATGACATACCTCACAGACCTGTTCCATATTTTAGCTCCTGACCTCCCAATTGACATGCTACTCATGGATAGGGCGCACAGGGTGGCAAAGCCACAACATCTGCCAGCCTCAATACCGAGGGACGTGATGCTCAGACTACACTACTATCACGTAAAAGAATCCCTCCTGCGCTCCAAGATACCTCTACAAGATCTCCCGGACAGATATAAAGAGGTCCAGATATACGCAGACCTTTCGGCCGAAACACTTAGACGCAGGAAAACTTTCAAGGACGTCACAGCTGAACTAAGGAACAGAAAAATCCCGTACCGCTGGGGATTCCCAATCAAGCTATTGATCCTACGAGACGGCAAGACCCAAATTGCCTCAACCGCAGAAGAAGGAACCCGACTGCTGCGCTCTTGGGGCATCACTCTAGCTACAAACAGGGACAAACCAAACAAACGACCGACATTGCACCAAGAGTGGCAGACGGTGAAACACCCCAAAACGCCGAAACACACAGCAACACAGTGACGGAAGCCAAGGGATGACGGATGACATCCATGCGGACAGTATCAACGCAAAATACACCATGGACACGGCTAATCTTTTTCAGGGACTTTGGGACATTGTTCACCGTCGACCAAGGGAAACACGACGGGAGAGGGTAATATACTCGCTACAACTGTTTTTGTGCTAACATTACGGTTCACTATTTCATAAATATAGGGAACAAGGGGAGGGGGACTGGGGAGGGGGGAGAGGAACTGTGAGGGAAGGGGTAACAAGAGGGGAAAGTTAACCACCATGGGGCAGGGACCCCGTCTGGACAGCAGGATACGACCCACGTGAGAGGGTCTCCGACCCTGTAGCCCCCCCCTGAAAACATACCCACTAACTACCCCACCTACCTAACATAGCCAAAATAAGAAGCGGGACCAAGGGCTCAAGCGGGGAGACATGGAGGGTGGCGGGGCGATGCCCCAGGAGCAGCACCAGGTCAGGGTCAGAAGACAATAGGGCCATAAAACCAAGCGAGGGCAGGAGCCCCACAGACAGTATAGACTAATGGACCCTAAAAATGTTACCTAAACCACGCGCACCATCCTTCCCACATAGCGAGCCAACAGTTGGGAAACCATGCAGGGGCCACTGCTACTCCCGCCCCCTAGGGGACGTGAGGCAAGCAAAGTATAGAGATACCAGTAACATGGACTAAAAGAGGGAAACGGAGGAGCAAGCGGTTGCCTCTCTGCCAAACCAACATCCCACCCCAACGCCCGCAGCCCCCCCTAGATAAGTGATAATTCCAAACCTCCACGTTAAAAACCCACATGCCCATCTCCAAATCAAGAACACAAGATTGATGGCAAGATCCCTCTGCTCCTACCAACACTCCCTGTGAGTCAGACAACCCTCAAAACACATCCCCAAGGTAGCCCAGATTAGAGCCGCTGGCCTGGGGCAGCGACCACTGGCTCGGCCAGGAGGCCAGAACAGACTTCCCAACCCCCCAGATAGGGAGAGCTAGTAGGAGGAACTAGCGGGATAAACTGCGCCCTGATGGACGACCAGGGCACAAGAGCCAGATCTAAAAAATTGTTATGTTTATGTTATTGTAAATATGTTAAATGTCTTCGATTCACCTATGCTCAAAGACAAATCACATCATCTATGTCTGTATGCAATTCACACAAAGGCAGGGTTAACATTCCACTAGTACACTATATCCGCCTCATAGAACCGATCAAGGGTCACCCACCACACCTACGTATAACGAAAACCACCCCCGGCTACTCTTCTCAGAACAAGAGCGGCGATCCACCGCTAGCCAACACACGAGACAGTGAAGACCGAAACAGCACATCCAATTCCCACACACATTCAATCTAAAACTATACTCCCACAATGTACAGGGATTAAATATCCCACAAAAGCGTCACACTCTGAGCAGGGAACTTAAAAAAAACCAAGCCGACATAGTATTTCTCCAGGAAACACATTTTAGAACCGATGCTCACCCCCACATAAGTCCTAACATGTACCCCCACCAAGCACATTCCACCACTCCGAGTAAATCTCGAGGCGTGTCAATTCTCTTCAGCAAAGACCTCACGATCATATCACACAACCAATTAATAGACCAGGGGGGGAGATGCATCATATGGCACTGCACCATCAACGAAACAGAATACACACTAGCGAATATATATGCACCAAACACCAACCAAAGAAATTTTTTGCACGCAGTCCTCTCTAAAATTGAAAAAATAAGGAAAGGCACTCTAGTCATAAGCGGGGATATAAACCATGTGTTAGACCCCACATTAGACTCAACTAGACCGCCCACGTCGCCTCACTACAAAACCATGAAAAAACAAAGCAAAAGCCTTAGGAATTTGCTAGCCACATATGGCCTGAGAGACGTGTGGAGATCCCTCCACCCCTCGGAAAAAGCCTACACGCACCACTCCAAAGTACACAATACATACTCTAGAATTGACGGGTGCTTCATGCACGAATCCACAATGACCAACATCTTAGACTGCGAAATTTTGACCGCCGACTGGTCAGATCATGCACCAGTGACATTATCATTGTCGAGCTCCTATGACTACAAACATAGAAACCCATGGCGTCTTAATGACTATCTAATTAGAGATCCACAATTCTGCAAAACCCTAGAAAAAGAACTGCATAACTACTTTACCACTAACGCCTCAAACGACCTGAACCCCCACATGATCTGGCTTGCACATAAAACTGTGCTTAGGGGCACATTAATAAGTAGAGCCACATATCTAAAGAAACGATCAGAAAAAGAAATTAAGCAATGTGAACAAACACTAGCAGTGCTTCACAAAGATAATCAAAAGCAACCGTCAGCAGTGCACAAAACGCAAATCATTACACTCCAAAACAAACTCAATGAGATTAGACTCCACAAATTCGGCCTCATGCTGAAGCGCCTAAACACTCGCACATACGTCCAAGGCAACAGAGCCAGTAAACTTGTAGCACAACACTTAAGAGAGAGACAGCAACAAACACGGATAGCACATATCTTAAATAAAAAGGGCCAAAAAATCCACCTCCCCTCAGGCATTTGTAAAGAATTTGCCCACTATTACAGCCAATTATATAATCTCTCTAAGGATCAGACCACGCCGCAACCCACGGAGGCTGGCATACAAGCCTACTTATCAAACATCCCGCTACCAACCCTATCCACAACCCAGCAACAACTTCTGGAAGCTCCCATTACAGAAAACGAAATCATAGAATGCATAACATCCATGCCCCCAGGAAAAGCACCAGGGCCGGATGGCTTTACGAACGAGTACTATAAGGAATTCGCTCCACTTCTGGCCCCACATCTCAACAGGGCTTTCAACCATGCTCTTCAGACAGGAAACTTCCCAGCGGAGTTCCTAGCAGCTAGAATAATTACCCTACCGAAACCAGGTAAACCCCCGACACACTGCCAAAATTTCCGCCCCATATCATTACTAAATTCAGACACCAAACTGTACGCAAAAATTTTAGCTAACCGACTCAAAAACATCCTCCCTGACCTTATCTCAAATGACCAAGTGGGCTTTGTTCACGGAAGGCAAGGCTCAGACAATACACGAAAGGTAATAGATATAATACAGTCGATACACATGGACCGGACCCAAGGTCTCATAATCTCCCTAGACGCAGAAAAAGCATTCGACAGACTGAATTGGCAATTCCTAGAGGCTACTCTGAAAAAATTTGACTTTCCCCCCACTTATCTGACAGCAATCAAAGCCCTATACAGCTCTCCGAACGCCGCGGTAACATCCTCAGGTTCCCGATCAGATCCATTCAACATCACAAATGGGACTAGACAGGGTTGTCCCCTGTCACCACTTCTTTATGTGTTAGCCCTGGAACCCCTCGCGGAAGCCATTAGACGTAACCCAAACATACACGGCATAAATATAGGAGAAAGAGAGTACAAACTCAACCTATTCGCAGACGATGTCCTTTTAACGCTATCCCAACCATTGATCTCCCTCCCAAATCTCCAAAAGGAACTGCAATCCTATAGCGCACACTCATACTACAAGCTAAACACCACTAAAACCCAAGCAATGGGAATAGGCATAGAAGACAACATAATGTCCAGACTCAAAACGGCATTTCATTATGACTGGAGAGAAGACCACCTCATATTTTTGGGAATCAAAATCACAAAAACATATAACTCACTTTTCACAATGAATTACCAAAAACTCTACACAGAAATTGTAAATACATTAAAGTCCTGGGAAGGCAAATACCTATCTTGGGTGGGTAGATGCGCGGCTATCAAAATGATGATCCTGCCAAAAATTCTTTATCTATTCCGAACATTACAAATACCAGTCCCCGCCAAATATTTCAAAAACCTCCAGACGACCCTTTTGAGATTTGGATGGCAAAACAAAAAACCCAGGGTAGCATGGCGACTCCTGTCACGGTCAATAAAAGAGGGAGGACTTGGATTCCCGGACGTAAGAGAATATCACAGAGCCACGCAACTGGCAAATGTGCTACGGTGCCACTCTAGAGAACAACCCCCACAATGGCTGGAAATAGAATCCAGCAGATTAGAAGGGAGGCAAATAGCACACCTCATATGGGCCCCAAGGGAAATACGACCCCGCACCCCTCAGATATTGCCGACAACCAAACTCATGCTATCTATATGGGACAAAAACAAGCACAGGGTCTGCTCGAGACATAAGTGGTCCCCCGCAACCCCCTTAAAAACGCTGCACACCCTAGACCCCTCTTTCAACTATAAAATTTGGGCTGAACACGACCTAACCTACCTTCACCAAATGACTCAAGGCGGCTCCCTGAGGAGCTTCAAAGAATTACAAACACACCATAATATACCAAACAGGGCCCTATTCTCATATATACAACTTCAACACAAGTTACGGACTGCACATACACCCACTCAACCAGTGACTGGTGAACCAAAACTAACTCACTTTGAAACTAAATGCCTCGAAAGGAAAAAGCAAGACAAAACTATATCACTATGCTATAACATACTCAATGGGGGGCCTCAAACGCACCTCTGGGGATTTCAAAAAGAATGGCATACAGATATTGGGAGGGAACTAACAACCCAGGAATGGGGTAGAATCTTTGTAGCACACAAAAGCGCGACAAGATGCGCCTCTCACCTAGAAATAGCCAGAAAACTACTGTATAGGTGGCACCTCACCCCTAGCAAATTAAATAAAATGTACAACAACTCCGAAGCCAAGTGCTGGAGATGCCTAAAAGCGAAAGGGGACACATTACATATCTGGTGGACTTGTCCACTCATACGTCCAGTATGGGAAGCAGTAGAAGAAATAGTTACAAACAGCATAGGGGTATCGATCCAACCCAACATAGAACTATACCTATTACACCTATCACCACAAAATATCACGAAACCCGCTCGAAAACTAGTCTACCTTATCACGATAGCGGCAAAGACATTAATAGCAAGACAATGGAAATCGTCAGTGATTCCCACAAAAACAGAAATAATAGCCCTAACATCCACCAACGTCTCATATGAAAAACATGCGGGGTCACTAGGGCAAGAGGACCGCACAACCACAGAGGCTTACAATATGTGGCTCAATTACGAACAAGCAACCCACATAACACGCAGACACGCAACACATGACCCTCCGTAACAAATTAAACAAATAAAAGGTACAGACAAGGAATCAAACTCAAGAATGTATACATTTAGCAATGCGGAGAAATAGACACTGACGGGAATGGTACCAGACCCAAATGACATGCCCAGACCAAACCCAACGCAACAGAGCTTCAGTCATACAGAAAAACTTGTATAGGTGGAACAAGTTCCATGTATATAGTTCATATTAACGTTTATATTGTTTATATTGTATTTCATGTAATCTACGTACTTCCACAACTGACACGGCACCCCCAGTACCACTCAGGGACTGGAATAGGATGATAGCACAATGCAGACAAGCGTGATATGTACCACCATGGGTATACAAATTTGTCGCGAAAACCGCACACATATCAATAGAATGTACTGTGAAGCCTTGTCAACTGAAGTTACGTAATCCCCCACCCCTCCCTTATTCATTTCTGTACCCCGCACACCTATCACCTTGTTTATGAATAAGCATCACAAAGGTAAAATGGTTAACTATATAGAAAGAGAGAGGAGGAGGAGAGGAAAAAAAAAAAAAGCCACTTTTGCCAACACAGGGAACAGAACAAAGAACTGGCCTGTTGTGACAAAGTGGGCAAATTCGAATATAGTTACGTTTTCGTTAGAAATTATGAACAGGATGGCAAACGTAACCGAAAAGTAGGAAATGTGCAAATGTGTTTCATCCCCCCACCCCTTTTTCCTTCTGTACCCCAAGCTTGAACTTGAACCTGAAAAATAAAAATTGTCAAATTGAAAAAAGAAAGTCTCTGCTGTATGTGGGACTTGGAGTGGTGGTGAAAGGGTTAAAATTCACAATTTATCTGCATTAGACCAGAAATAATGATAAACATTTGTTGTAACACCACCCACACGTAATTATATGCATATAAATGTTAATATTTTAGAACACCACCACGACCATAAATGGAGTGCCTTTTATCCCCCAAGCAAATTACACTAAAAACCCCACAAAATGTGATCCGATACAATATCTACGTGACTTCAAATGACTAATAAATTGTTCTAATGTGGTATTGTGAGTCTTTACTAGACAAAGGCAGAACTTTTAATAAAGGAATATTAATTATGAACAAAACAGTCACCGCGCATATAAGAACCAATGACAAATTATTTACACCAGCTACAAGTTAAAAAAAAAAAAAAAAAAGGCAAAATTAACATAACTTCGTACTCTTTTTGTAGGCTTTGCTTTCCCCGTTCTGAATATGCACAAACGGGGGCATGATTATTAATCTGAGTTATTAGTAATGTTTATTTTAGATCTCACACTGGAAGACCATCGTCTCCTGACCGCTAATGGTCACTTAGTATATGAAAAGAATCCACTGTTTTGTGAGCGGATAGAGAAACATGGTAGATTATCCAGTTAGTTTACATTGAAGCTAAACTTGGAGGCAACTCATGTGTAACATTTCATTACTGGCAGAGGAGCTCTTGTTGGAGTCACGGATTTAAAAAAAAAAAAATGGAATTCATGTTCTAAACCTGACATCGATCACATTCCTATACAATCAAATAAACCACTCTAATGCTGAAATTGGCCATATCCCTTCTACTAGGTAGCCCAATAATGTATGCACTACACAAATCCAGGTAAATGGCAATATTCTATAGTGTAACAATTTAATTATGTACACTTGATGTGTTTGTGGGTTTATTTTTAAAGTCAAGTTCTCAAGCATAACTTCAGTAACCAATAAACTCTAAAATTCTAGAAAATGCCTTGAAAGACTTTGTTAGGGAGATTGGTTTAACCCCTTAAGGACACATGACATGTCATGATTCCCTTTTATTCCAGAAGTGTGGTCCTTAAGGGGTTAACATGCAAATCAGTGCTTGCTAAACCAGTCATTCAGAGATCTGAAAATGTGGCTGGCTTGTTGAGCACCATATGGGTAAGCTAACAGATGTGCAACATGCATGGTAAAACAATTGGCAAAGAAGTTAATTTCAAATTTGATCACTTGTCTTGAAATCAAAAGTCGACAGTTAAATTTGCAGATGAGACCGGTTTTGAGTACCGAATCTGCCCAAAACATCTACACAATAATCGTGATAGACCTAAACCAGTAATCTTCAGATTATCCAACTTTCTTAAGAAGGAAGCCATTCTAAAGGCTTCTAGAAGCACCACAACCCTAAACCACCAGGACTCTAAAGTCTTAATCGTCCAGGACTACTTAACTGCTTTAACCAACAAACACCATTTGCAATAAGGCTCTTGGAGAAGAAAATCAAATTCATGATACTCTTCCCTGCTCTTCTTAAGAAGACTTTCGAATACTATACCTACCTGCTTGAATACCCACAAGCAGCTAAGGCCAAAATCCGAGAACTTGATCTCCCCTTAAATTTAGGCCCAACCCTGAACGGCCTTTTGTAGACAGTTGAAATTTGCAGGTTTGTTTTGTTTTGTTTTGTTTTTTCTTCATACAATTCTGCTTTCTAGGTTTTGTCGGGTGCCACAAACGTTAAATTATTAGGACCCGTAGCATTGGTCCTTTTCGGATTAAATGATTATTCTTTGTTAAGGTGTGTGGTTGTTTTTGTTTTTATTATAGTTTCTTTTTTATATTGCTATATAGGACTAGTTTATTTTCTTGGGCTGCCCTTCTTCCTCATGGCTCTTCTATGAAATATAGGAAGGATCCCTCCCAGCAGCTGAGATAGGGTGGGACTTCCTTTCTCTAAATATCTTCAACCACATTACCCCATTACCTTTTGTATTGACCCTAGATAGCCATCAGTCCAACACACCAACACGCTTCCAATTAACAAACCCTTGTTTCTTGGAACATAGGCCGGGATACACCCGTTTTAAATGGAAAATAATTCTTAATTAGTGATGTCCCGAACTGTTCGCCGAACGGTTCGCCGCAGACTCATCATTGAGTAAACTTTGACCCTGTACCTCAGTCAGCAGACACATTCCAGCCAATTAGCAGCAGACCCTCCCTCCCAGCTCCTGGTGGACAGCTCACTAAGAATGCAGCTTCACAATGGATGCTGTCCAGGAGGTGGGAGGGTCTGGGAGGGAGGGTCTGCTGCTGATTGGCTGGAATGTGTCTGCTGACTGTGAGGTACAGGGTCAAAGTTTACTCAATGATGAGTCCGCGGCGAACAGTTAGCGAACCGTTCGGGACATCACTATTCTTAATACATTGTACACCCTAGACTTTTCTGTTTTCCTCTAAGACATACGTCCGACACCCGTCAACACCCGTGTATTGGCCACTGTGTTACAGCCTCTTACCAGTCCAACTCTCATGGAGTAGCTATTCCCAAACCTGCATCCATTCACTGACCCTGTGGGCCAATATTTCATCTTGATAGTACTCATTAGGGAAACCAACTACACCGTGGTAAATGTTTCTGCTCTGAATGTCTCAAATGCTCCATTTTATAGTAAATTGATGGAAACTTTACTGATTCTATCAGCAGAAAACACATTCTTCTGTAATGACCACAAAGAGGTCTTGGGCAATGCAGTGGACCAGTGTGACTCCTCTATCACATGTAGCTGTCCACACACACTTGCTATATCTGCTGACTTAACACGTCTATTTAACAGACGTGTGACAATTACGGAATCCTTGCGTTAACCGTTCACACATCTCTCACTCACAACACTGCTATACAGTTGGATTACTTTCTCCTACCCCCTCATTGGTAAACCACACAACACCTACATTCCTATCTACTGCCAGAAAGTCTAAATTGCATAACGCATTCTGCTCCAACCATAGGACTAATGAAAGCAATACTTTCCGTTTCATGCATATTTTAAATGGACTGGATCAACTTCATATCACAAAAATTAAAAGGCAAAAATGTTCCTTCAAACCTATAAAAATATTCTTATTATTTATAATGCAATAACAAATTGTGCAGCATTGTAAAATACGTGTAAAATAAGTGTCGCGATCCTCATTTTCATGCAGTGCACCGCAATTTTGGAATAATCTTATGGACGCAATCAAATCTTCATCCAATCGAAAATCCTATAAAAGATCATTGTCAACATATTTTAATTCAGACTGCAGCTCTAATCATAATTTATTATATTTTCTTACCTGTTCTGTTTTAAATTTGTGCATTTTATTACAATATTATTTTGTAACAATGGAAAGTTTGGACCCAGGACATACTTGAAAAGGAGAGAAATCTCAATGTATACACCATCCTGGTAAAATATTGTGTGTATGTGTATATATGTGTGTGTATACATATATATCTATATCTCATTCCACTTTTTTTTTTCTTTTTGTATAAATTTGTGTTTTTGTTTTTTTTCCCCTTCTATGAACTTTAAAAAAATTATAATACATTATTTTTAGGAATGGGAAGCGCAGAAGAACTTCAATTAACGACCACAATCACCAACGTAGATGGACCGACAGAGGTTTATCGATTGGCAGGCAAAGAGTCACAAGAATAACTCTTTACTTGAATGGGACAAAAAGTAGACATTTTAACAGACTATGTATCAATGAAAAATTATATATGTAAAATATAATTTTGAGTTCCCACTAAAAATGTTACATAAAATAGCCTTATTTACAATGTATTTATAGATTGATTTTTCTCAGTTAGGATTATCATTGAATTAATTTGTATTGTAGCTTTTTATATATACAATTTGGTGAACAAGGTGTATTAATGTTTTTTGTTATTTCTATATATTTTTCACACTAATGGTTCAAATACACATTTCTGTTCATGTACAGTGTTATTTCTAGAATACGTTTTAAGTGACCTGTTTCCACTTGTAAAAGCAATATCCAATAAGCAATAAAGATTTTTTTTTTTATTTTATTTTCAGTTTTGTGCATTTTATTACTTATCAGATTGCGTGTTTTATTAAATGATTGGCTTACCCCTGGATTTCAAAAGTTAGTAAACAATGATGAAATGATTTTTAGTAAACAATGATGAAAATTAAAAATAAATGTGCAAAGAATAGATGTCAGGTGATGGGTATATAGTTGGCTGGTTCTGTTTAAATTATCTATGTAGGGGTACAGTGTATCTGAGAACTTGGGATCAGATTGTACATTTACAATCAACAGTAATTCACATAGTTTACTTGTCTTTTAACATTATTCATAAAGTTCTATATAAACTGCTCCTACTCGTTCTGGGATCTGCTAAGCTGTGTGTGTTTTGTTTTTTCTGTAACTTTAGAAAGTATTGGCACAGATTTAGCAATTTACCTGGTTTACGCCAGTAAGGTGAAGTTGGTTGTAGAGCAAAGCTGATCAATGCTTGGCTGCTGTTAATGGTTGAGTGTGCCATCTGCCAAAGATTGAGATACTGCATGGACCCTGACATTGTTACAGTAAATGGTATCACTCAGCACCATAACCACTACTCATTGCAGTAATTATGGTGCTGTCCGGTTGGACTGATTCACACTGATAATGCAGACATTACATTTCCAAATGATCAGTGTGATTGAAGAGGATGCTGAGAAGAACCTTGGCCTTTTTGTCTTCTAAACTACACCAAAACTGGATGACCAAGCCTATAGACTTGTGGCACCATAACCACTGCAATGCGCTATACTGGAGTTGGTTCTTAGAGTGCCCTTTTAATTATGTATTCCACCGTGACCGGGCTTTAAACTAAAGTGAAAATTGTCTATAACGAAAGTAGACAATGTCACTTTTTATGCCTAAAAATCAGATTTAAAAAAGTTTGAAGTTTAGAATATTTGCCTGTGTTCCCAATTCCCAGGGATTGTAAACCTATAAATACATTTCATTGAAATACAGCAAATTTCTAGCACAAGCTCACAAGGCAAAACTGCAGCTTCCAGCAGACCTGATCTGCTTACAAATCAACAGGCATACAGCCAATATTGGGAAGGCTTGCTCGGAAGGATTTCAGTGCATGTCGGATCATACACAAAATGTCATATTGCACTTTTAGTGTTTCCCAGTCCAGTCCTCCAGCCACTCCAGTGGTTCAGGTTTTGTCCTTATCCCCAATGGAACAAAACTGGGAAATTATATTCTTTGATGAAACAGAAGGGTTTGATATTGATACTGTAATGTGATCGTGATGACAGTGTGTGTGTTTGCAGAAGAATCTGTATTTATTTTTTTCCCCTTAAAAGTCAAGGTTCTGGAATGGAATACATGTGTGATTTTAGCCCAAGGTCAACTGCCATGCTTTGGCTACCAGTACCATACAGTATTGCTGAAATTAATATTGCTAATTATAATAATTATCAACAGGCAAGCCTAGGTCTGAGAGAGATGCCTGAGGGATCACTGGTTTTGGTCAAACTGATTCAAAATTGTTAAATTCAGAACCAGTTACCTCCTGCTAACACCATAACTACTACAACATGTAGTGGTTATGGTGCTTAGACTGCCCCTTTTAAGCCACAGGAAACTTCTAATTTCATAAAAGTTAAAGGACCACTATAGGCAGCCAGACCACTTCAGCTTAATGAAGTGGTCTGGGTACCAGGTCCATCTAGGATTAACCCTTTCTGTTGTAAACATAGCATGATTTTCACAGTGACGATGCCAGCGTCCATAGGAAAGCATTGAGAATGCTTTCCTATGGACTGGCTGAATGCGCGTGCGGCTCTTACCAGGCATGCGCATTCAGCCGATGACATCAGAAGAGGGA